GCTCACACTGCTGGGGGCTGGAGGCACCTTCCAGGGCGGGTTCCAAAGGGATCGAGGCCTTCACAGAAACAGGCCCTTTATTGTGTTATTAATCTTGCTTGGAAATGATGTTGGGGCAAGTCCAAGGCTCCCACTTTTTTCCCCAGCTGCCCAGGAAAAGCATATTTCTAGTCCTTCGTAAAGGGACTTGTCTACTGCCTGGAACTGTTGAAGGCCAGGCTGGAAGGGGCTGTGAGCAACCTGCTCTAGCAGGAGGTGTCCCTGACCATGGCAGGGGGATGGAACTGGATGATCTTTAGGGTCCCTTCTAACCCAAACCACTCTGTGATTTTACGTTACAGTATTTTTGGTTTATTTGTTCTTAATTTTCGATAGATAGAAAAGTTGGCAGATTTTTTGTTGTTGAGTTGCATCCTTGATCTGGCCAAGATTTCATCTTACTGTGACTTTGCTTCTTTTCCCAGAGATGTAAAACCAGACAACATCCTCCTGGATGAGCAAGGTAGGACCTCTCTGCCTTGTTTTGTCTGCGTGCTTCATTCGAGGGGCAGATCCTGTACAGTCTTGAATAACCTGGGCACCTTTTTATCCGAAAAGAGTGTGGAAAAAGCACCACTCCTTCTAGCTGATGGGTGTTTGTGGAACATCCCTGTGCCCACCTCTCCTCATACCCCCACACTCTGCCTCCTCTCTCCCCTGTGCCCCCATACACAGGTCACCCAGGCCAGAACCACGGTACCTGGTGTCATGGGAGGGCACAAAGCACAGAACTGGCTTTGTGGAGCTTCAGAGTGAGTGACCTGCACACAGACTTTTAAGATAGTTTTGAGGTCTTCCTGGGAGGATGGATGTGGGCTGAGCCTGCTGGGGTGAGTTCAGGAACCTTTCTGAAAGCATCTATTGGTATGAGAGCCTCTGTCTCAGTGGCCTAAAGAGGAGAAATACCACAGGAGACCCTATGATGACCACTGTTCCAGCAGCAGATCTTACAAAACAAAGTCTCTTAGGACAGCAGGCTGCAAACCCTGTGAGTGTTACCATAAAGCCTCATCAAAACCAAAGCTTGCACTTGCATGGGGGTTCATTAGGAAATAGTGCAGGGTATAAAGTCCAGATATAATGGGGAAAGGAGATGTAAGGGGAGCCTCCATGGGACAGGGCAGTCTGTGATTTAGTCACCACGTTCAAAGCTGCCTTGTAGATGGAGAGCAGAAAGTAGCCTCCAGACAGGCAGGTGGGTGGGTGTTCTTTATGCCAGGCTGGCTTGAAAATAATGACCTGTCCTGAATTTTAACTTCAGTCCTGATTGCAGAGAAAGTAGAAGCAGAGAGTTGTCCCAGCACTTTCTGAAATATCTTGCTGATTCTGTCACACAGCCTTTAGGTTTGGGAACCATTGCTGTGATTTCCTTCAGCTGGCACGTCCACACTGGCTGTGCTCTGGCAGAGTGGCACCACTGGTTCAGCTCTGGGACTCTGGGGCAGCCCATGGTTCAGTGGCTTCCACCAGAACCAGTTCTAGGGTTTTCATCAACACAGCCAGGGCATATCCCCATGAGGTGTTCCCCATTGCCTCCTCCGCTGACCGCAGGTTCTGTCTGGAGCAAGCTGACCAAGGGCTGGAGCTGGTTTCTCATCTGCTCCAAGTGTGGCTTAAAGTCAAGGCCCAGAGGTAGTTCTGTTCAGCCACCTGCCAGCCCGAGGTGCTGGGAGAGCCTCGGGGTCTGCCGGGGCGGCTCGGGGGGTCTGACCCCGGCCTGCCTGTGCCCGTGCTACGCTGTCCGAGGGCAGAAGCTGGGGAAACAGACGTGTCCTGAGCCCACCTTGGCACCGCCCTGTGCTGCAATCCATCCTTCTTAAACTGTGTCTCTCCAAGGTCACGCGCATCTGACGGATTTCAACATCGCGACGATCATCAGGGACGGTGAGAGAGCCACGGCGCTGGCGGGCACCAAGCCCCACATGGGTCAGGGGTGACCACAGGTGATCCTGCGTGGGGTAGGGGGG